TTTTACCAGATCTTTCATGATTGATTTTGATTCAATTGATAATTCATCACATCTCCCATAATGGGTACTTTTTATTTTCTTGAATCTGACTTTTTCTGGTTTGGGATTATGGTTTGTCTGTGATTTTTAGTTTAATTAGATTTACTAATCGTTTAATCCAGTTCATATAATCAGTCTTCTAAAAATTTGCTTACTTTACCTCGGATCATGGATCATGATCATGGGTGCTAGAAAAAGTTAGGCTTTAGAACGCTTGATTCAGTCTCTCTCTCAAAAAAAGGAAAAAAGAGGGGTAAAATTGGTGGGTGTTTTTTTGACAGAAAGTAAAATTGGTGGTTGAAACTGAAAGTTTTCCGTTGGACCTGTATATATGGTAGTTTTGTATGTGCTTTCAGCTATTTTTTGTATACTATAGTATTAGTAATGGGATTTTGCAGTCTTGGTAATGTATGATCTGTTTGCTCTTTTTCCTTTGGTTCTTGTTTCTTCCTAAATCAAAACAGGTTGTTGAAGTTTCAACTTCAAAGACTGGCAAACATGGACATGCAAAGTGCCACTTTGTTGGTATTGACATTTTCAGTGGGAAGAAACTTGAAGATATTGTGCCTTCATCCCACAACTGTGACGTAATACCTAATTTATTTCTCATTTCATCACTGCTTGATGCTTCTTTTTGAACCAAGAAGCGCATTGGCTTGAATATGCCCGTTTTCTTTTTCTCTTCTTTTTCTTTTTCTTTCTTTCTTTTTTTTTTTTTTTCACAGGTTCCCCATGTTAATCGTACTGACTATCAGCTGATTGATATCTCTGAAGATGGCTTTGTAAGTTGTCCTTTTGCATGTATTCCTGAAATTTATGTTCTTTCTTTTGATTGGTATGAAGACATAATGTTCCCTAGTTATTGGAAATGGTTCTCTTGAATTTTGTAATTAATCAATCGGAATTGGGTGTGTTGTAGGTGAGTCTTCTAACTGAAAATGGAAACACAAAGGATGATCTGAGGCTTCCCACCGATGAAAATCTGCTCAGCCAGGTACTTAATAGGGGTTGTGATTTCAATGTCTTTATTTCCTTGTTTGTGCATAATAGTTTCTGCACCGACATTTGTAATAATAGACCCCTTTTTTTATTTAACTAATGCTGAGTATATCTTCTCATACATGTAGATTAAAGATGGGTTTGCTGAAGGAAAGGACCTTGTGGTGACAGTCATGTCTGCAATGGGGGAGGAGCAGATCTGTGCCCTCAAGGACATTGGTCCTAAAAATTGAATGTATATGATGCCATGCTGTTGGGTTATAGTAAATAGAACTCTCTTAATGTTGCTGACAAGAGTCTTATCTATTATGCCTGTGTGACACAGACCCTTATTGGGAATTTCTCAAATTGATACAGTACTTAAAACACTATAATCCATAGGTTTATGAAAGCTGCTGTTCCTTTGATGAAAAAAGGGAACTCATGTCAACAGCAGGACGGCTTTATATATAGCCTTATTACTATGCACATATTCATTTATATGGTGGATGGGTTTGAGCATCAATATAAGGTTTGTGTTGTAGACTGTACCCCTCACTGTCCTCATGCATGATATTACCTTTTAGATTTTTTAGTATATTGACCTTAGATCACAAATTAAAGATTTTATATAAATACTAGTTGTCAACTCTGCGAAGCTCTTGGTGGTAGGTGTCGCCTACCGGTGCCTTTCCATCACGCTTGATGACTATAATGCTATCTTCCAAGATAATGAAATTATGATAGCAAAAAATCAAACATGAATGTTCGTCTAAATCTTTAACCAGTTCCCGTGTCTCATTGGCAAACCTCTTAACGAGTCTTTGTAAGCAGGATTTTCATTTCTTAGAAAATGAAAATTGAGAAAAGGGAAAATTAGAATGTTTTGATATTAAAATGTT